TCCAAATACATTTATTACATCATCCTTTATTTGTACAATGTATGGTTTCCCTGTGAAATCCCACCACCAATTCACCCTGCTCCATCACCATAGTTCAGCAGTGTATTTCAATCTGTCTGCCTGCTCTGCTTCCCACTCTATCTCTGGTGAATACTCTCACTCTTCCCTCCAGCACCTCTGGTCTTTACCCAGTTTTTGTATGCACAAATAAATAAATCTTTCAAAAAAAGAAAATAAACATTTGGATTAATTTCTAATAGATATTTCTGAGATTTAGAAATGTTTATATAAGCACTTAGTTTTTCAATTAAATAGACTTTGCCAAATTAATTTTGGCAAAATAATCTGGAGGTAGAGAAATGTCATCTTATGACACACACATATACAGACAAATGCAGAGCTTATAGCTTTCATTCTAAAGTTGTAGTCATAGTTGGGTAAAATATAATACTCTCTAATTTAAAAAGAACAGTTGAATTTATATTCTTTTTTTAATCTTGATAAGAATCATCTCTCTCTAAAATTTGCATTTCAAAGAATGACTCTTAGATCTTAGAAAATTCATATCCCAAAGGCTCGGAGAAAGTATGCAATTCCTCCATGAAGCACTCTTGCTTCCCCAAAGCAGACTTTTTATAATACCTGCAAGTATTTTGAGATGAAAAGGAAGGTTTTGCTGTGATAAACAGATGAACTTTGACTTGCATTTCTGGTTTTACGAAGACTTGTAAGGTGAAAGTTACTTTTAATTTCTCAAATGGGTTGTAGTCTGAAAATCAAAAGTGCTGATCTGCCTACTCTACTATATTTTCTTCACTTTGCTTCAGGGAATAGTTTCTGAGTGTAGATGAAAACCAAAAGATTCCTGTATTCTGGAACTTCAGGTTTTGTTTTTTAAAGGTTTATTTTATTCATGTATACAAGAGCTGGAATTTAGGCCAGAGGTGCTGTGGGGAGCAGAATAGTGGGCAAGACAAGAGAGGTCTGCTGTGCCATGTTGGTCACCTCCCTGGCTGGGGTTGAATACATGCTGCAGTGGCTGTGGACAGTTTCATAGTGCTGAGACTTAACCCCTTGAGCCACGAGGGAGGCTCTGGAACATCAGTTTTTAATATAGTATGACTTTAAAAAGTCTGAAGAAATTGGTTAATAAAGGCCTTCAAATATCTTCCTTTTTGGATGTAACTTTCAACCTTAGCCCGATTCACCTTAGAGGGAAACAGTTTCTCCTGCTGCTTAGTATCAGCCTGTGAACATCAGCTTCCAGTGGAGCCATTTCCTGATAATTTCTATAGAAGGACCTGGGAGAAATTTTGACTTTCTCTCTATTTTCCTCAGGAGATCTTTTGACTTGTCAATTACAATGTGATCACCAGTGGGAAAAACCCCTCTTAGCAGCCAACCAGGGTGCTGAGTGAGGATGTAAATGTCCATACATCCTTCCAACTCTTCTCTAAATTTGATAGGATCTTCTAAAGAATGTAGAGGTAAAAGGACTTTGTAATATCATCTGGTTAAAGGAATCCCTAAGGCTTCTTTTTCAATTTATCCTTTTTTTCAGTTTATCTTCCCATAAATATTAATAAGACAGTTTTAGACGAACACTCTAGAAATTTTGCCCTTCAAATATAGGATCCTATATCCATTCAAATATAGGATCCTTTGTTTAGCTACTGACAATTAGGATTTTAAATTAATAGTGGTTCAAAGCAATACTCCATTTCGTGGATTAATTATAGGTGCAACAGGCATCCCCACAGAGTACAAAATAGCAGTCCTGATAAGATCCAGAAAGTTCAATTCCAGAGTTAAGACCAAGGATAAAACTCCATCCGGCCAGGTTATTTTTCATAGTTGTTTGGAAACACAGGGAATCGAGTGTTTCCCCACCTCCCCTTTGCAACAGAATAGGCTGCCTCTGAAGTTTCTCACTCAAATCCACAACCAGTTTGGTCATGTGCCAAGTGCTCATGTCTGGCTCCTTTGCTTATCATAATGTCCTAAACCTTAGAACCTGAAGGCAGTTAGAATTGAGTTGAAGATGGTTGATTTTCTGCCTTTTCTAGGTGAACTTGGGAGATCCCTATTAGGTACATTTTATCTATTATTCCTATCCACACCTAGGGTGAATTAACATTTATAAGTGAAGGAAGTTGAATGTTCATACCATGCAGAACTTTCCAGGAAGATTGACACCTTAGTTGCTAAATAAGACCATTGTTTGGTAGAGTGATCTGTTGGGACTTGTATGCAAGGTGTAGGAATTCACTGGTTCATATAAGGGCCCAGGGTGGGTGGGGTCCAGCTTCAGGCATGGCATCATCTGCTGATCCAGAAGAGGTAAGTATTCTTGTCGCCCTGTTGGCTTCATTCTCTGTACAGCTTGTGTTGTAACAGGATGTTGATCCACATTCCCCAAACTTAATTGATTGTCTAGTTGAGGACTCAGACAATGAAATTTCCTTCACCAGATCTTACACTGGAAGGCTTCTGATTGGCCCTTTTTGGATCATTGCCATCTTTGAGGCCAGGAAGATGGAATTCTCCGATGGAGAGGCTCAGATATATGCCCCCCCAATAATGGTGGCACCTCTAACATACCATGTACATGACAAGCACCCTGTTGCTCATCACTGAGGTTGATGTTGACCACTGAGATGCATTGTTATTCTCCTCCCACTGATACCGTGTGTCAGCAGAGATGTGTTTCTTGGAGATGCGTTTTTTGGTTCCGTAACTATGAACACCTAGGGCACACAGGTCTGGGCCGGGTGCCCTAGGGAACAGCAAGTCCATGCTGTCAGGGAGAGTGCAGTCTAGCAGGGCAGAATGCAGTGCACTGTGACGACACCGAGGGGCCAAGATGAGGATGGCAGAGGATGGGAGGGATGTAGGTGAGAATGAAACAAGTGAAGCATTTAAAAGGAATTCAAAAGCTACAACAGGGCAAACTTTTGGACTACCGACACTAAGTTTTTGGGACTGAGGATGTCTACTCTGAGTGAAGAGACCCTGCGGGGAAGGTGTTAGGAAATACCTTACTGCTTAGTAAGTGCTGAGTGGATTTTGAACTACTAGGACTTGTATCTAAAAAGTAGGTTTGAGGATTATTGACAGCCCATGTATTCCCTAACTATTTATATATGCTCTCCTTTCTAAGAATATTTTTGCACCGTATAAAATGTTACTGTCTGTGGTTCTTTTTTTTTAAGACTTTATTATTTTTTCATACAAGACCTAGAGGTACAGCCGGGGGCGGGGGGAGAGAGCAGGGTGAGAGGATTCACCAGAGACAGAGTGGGGAGCAGAACAGGCAGATTGATGAAGCACACTGCTGAGGGGAGCAGTGGATGAGACAAGAGGTCTGCTGTGCCATGTGGGTCACCCCCCTGGGGGGGGATCAGACTCCTGCTGCTGTGCTGCCAGAGGCTTCATAGTGCTGAGATTCAACCCCCTGCACCACCAGGGAGCCCCCTGTCAGCTTTTTAAAGGTGTGGGAAGAGGGGGACCGAAACTTCCAATGTAAATGTTTATAATATTGATATTCAACATAAGATAAAGTCATAACAGGGACCTGCTTATGATTTTTAAAATACTATGTTTTCTCATATATTTCGCCCTTTAGCTTCTTCCCTTCAGGCCCCCACCCCCTCAAATCCACCCACTCTCTTTAAAGGTTTTGTTTGTCCACTCAAAGCAAGTAGCGTAGTACCTGGCACTTTTGGCAGAATGTTTAGAAACTTGCTAATCATTGACTCAGGAGAAAATCACATTTTCCCTCCTAGAGGTATAATCAACATAGCACACAAAGCCACATTAACCTTAATAAACTGACAAGAAATAAATACCACTGCCCCCCCCAATTACACATCCCACCACAAAGTTTTACGAGTCTAGAAGAAAATGATAAATAAGATGTAAACCTAAGGCTTTCATAACAGAGGCAAAGAGTTCTGGGTCAACTAAAAAACAGTAAACCTGGTAGGAAGGTTCAAGATTATAGTTTTTGTAAACTGCAAGCAATAAGGAAAACAATCTAAACTTTTTAAAAAAAAAGATTTATTTATTTGTGCATACTGAACTGGGGTACAGGCCAGAGGTACAGGGGTGGTGAGAGGATTCACCAGAGACAGAGTGGGGAGCAGGAACAGGCAGATCGACAAAGTACACTGCTGAGAGGAGCAGCGGGCGGGTCAGGAGAGGTCTGCCACGCCATGTGGTCACCTCCGTGGCAGGCGGGGATCGAACTCATGCTGAAGTGGCTTTAGTTTCTTAGTGCTGCGCTTTAACCCACTGCGCCACCGGGGAGGGCCAAGTTGAAATCTTTTTTAAAAATGAAGAAAACTGGGTCTCCCTATTGGCACAGGTGGTTGAGTCTCAGTACTATGAAGCTATTGGCAGCTTCACCCACTCTGTCTCTGGTGAAGCCTCTCACCGTCCCTGCACCTCTGGCCTGTACCCCAGTTCTGTATGAACAAATAAATAAATCTTTAAAAAAAAATTTCAACTTGAAAAGATATATATAGACACACACACACACACACACATATGTATATAGTAGTCTAAAATTAGTATTGCAGAGATATTATCTCAGAAAGTAGTTATGTATGTGCATTCCTTTTCCCCCTCAGCATTCCCTGTAACTGGAAGAATCTGTAGAAAAAAACTGTGATCATTATTTTCCTAACAGGCTTTGTGGAGTAAATCCTTGGCATAGGTCAGGTAAACACCTCTTACTAATCAACCTGCATTCCTAAAATGAAGTCGTAGATTTGTTGTAATTGGGCTCTCCTGCTTGTTTTGGAGGGTGTGAGCTCCTGCTAGGTTGAAGGCAGGAAACTAGTGGTGTGGGCTGCCTGGTGTTGAGATTAGGAACTGCTCGAGTGAGTGCATTGCACACAGATGTCTCGGTACCTATTGCAGTTCCAGTGATTACAATGTGTTGGCAAAAGATTGTAGTATATTCAGTGATCACTGAAAAATGTTCCCTGTTTTATTAGGGTCCCAGAAGTGGTTCAGGAGCTTCCAGTGACCTCACCTGTGAATGACTTCAGGCAGCCTCGGCATAGCAGCAGCAGTAACTTTGAGACGCCTTCAAAAAAGTCTACAGCAAAGGGAAGAGCGGGAAGGCCCAGGAGAACAGAGCAGGACCACTATGAGACAGACTACACAACTGGCGGCGAGTCTTGTGATGAGCTGGAGGAGGACTGGATCAGGTATCAAGCCCATCCGCATTGAAACCACTTGCACATCTGGTGATGAGCGTGGGGCACCCAGCGTTTTATAGCTGTTACCTCCTAAACTAGGGTGATGATTCAGTCTCATTCTTTGCCAACTAAGGCTGGAGATATCAGTAGTTTTTGTTTGTTTCTTCCCTTTATGTAACACTGCTTTATGGTAATAATAGGACTGGTAGGGATTTGTTTTGTAACTCTGCTTAAAACACTCAGCTTTCCCAACATTTGTTTGGTAAACTTCACCAGTGCTCTAACTTTTTAACCCATAGCCACTAAGGGCAAGTCTTTTAAATGAATAAAAGTATCAAGGAATTTCACTTTATTGATTATAAAATGCCCAGACAGTGCTATGGCTTTCTTTTGGCATTTACTTTTTTTAAATGAAGCTTTCATGATGAGATCAGTTTCTTTAAAAAGTTTAATCCAAAGGACTTTGGAAATATTTTTGTAAATAATTGAGATAACAGTTTAGTGCCCTGGTCAAGTTCCTTTGTGTGATAGTGATTTTGTTATAGTCCATTATCTCCACTCTATTCATGTACGGTTTGTAGTCCTCTGAGGCCCAGACATTCTAAGGACTGGAACACGAACCATAAACATTTGCAGTAGGGCTGGTAGTCAAGTATGAGGGGGGATATAGAGCTGAAAACCCCTTGACAACTGTAGCTCTCATACCTCACTTTCCTTTTCTCCCCAAGAACTTTTGTTCTTGTTGTCATTTCTCTGTAAAATGTTTGCCTATTATATCATGAGAGATTAAAGTGAAATCTTTCAGGAATCTTGAATCCTTATTTCTCTTTTGAGCAAATTATTTAATCCTTTTCTCTATCCCTTTGTAAAAGTGAGATATCTTATACTCTTGGGTCTGAAATTTGAAATTCAGTGTTGCAGTGAGTTTTTTTAGTCCTATGAAACAATTCTGAGTATTTGCTGTGTGGATTATGTATGAGTTAATAGCCTCACCTTTATATGTAAAGAATATTAGTAGGCCCTCCCTGGTGGCGCAGCGGATTAAAGCACAGCATCGAGAATCTAAAGCCACTTCCGCATGAGTTCGATTCCCGCCTGCCCCGGAGGTGACCACATGGCGTGGCAGACTTCTCCTGACCCGCCCGCTGCTCCCCTCAGCAGTGTACTTCGCCGATCTGCCTGTTCTGCTCCCCACTCTGTCTTTGGTGAATCCTATCACCCTCCACATCTCTGGCCTGTACCCCAATTCTGTATGAATAAAAAAATAAATCTTAAAAAAAAAAAAAAGAATATTAGTATATTGAAAGAGCAAGTGCACAAAATTTCAGGATTTTTTAAATTTTTCATTACCTGTTAATTTTTACAGTGAGGATACACTTTAATTTATGTACATTTTAATGTTTACATTAGTATTGAAAGGACTTAAAAATAAGCTATTCCCACTTAGAAAATGAGACCAAGACCAAGAAACAAAAGAGAAAAACCACAGCCAGTTGCCAGTTTCTGCTCTACCACTGCAGTGATGAAACCATATTCTATGCTCTAAATTCCAGTTTTAAGAACTGTATATTCTGAATAATTAAGTTTCTCCCACTTGAACCTTACAATTCATGTATGATTTTCGACTATTTCTAAAATTAGTTTTAAAATAACTTATTTGCACCCTACTTTCCCCTCCCTATAAAGTACCAAAAAGGAAATAAGACAATGTCATTTTCCACATTCTACGAGCTTTATTTTCTTTGAAGAACAACCACCACTGAATTAATGCCTATCATGAATACATCTGTAATCCTTTTCTCTGTCAATTTTTAGGGAATACCCACCTATCACTTCAGATCAACAACGACAACTCTACAAGAGAAGCTTTGACACTGATCTGCAGGAATACAAGAGCTTACAAGCAGAACTTGATGAGGTCAATAAAGAACTCTCTCGTCTGGATAAAGAATTGGATGACTATAGAGAAGAAAGTGAAGAGTACATGGTAAAGTCAAACCTTATAAACTCATATTATATATGAATGTATCCTAATCTGTGGAAGTACAGTCTCCTTTATACTAATGTTAGTACATATTTTTCTAGTAATTGCCAAACTAATGGCACAAATGGTTAAAGTGCAGCATCATGAAGCTATCTGCAGCCACTGCAGCATGAGTTCAGTCCCCAGCCAGGGAGCTGACCCACATGTCACAGCAGACCTTTCCTGACCCGCCTGCTGCTCCCCTCAGCAGCGTATTTTGGTCAGTCCACCTCTTTCTGTTCCCCACTGTCTCTGGTGGATACTCTCACCCCCACACTCTGGCGTACACCCCAGTTCTTGTATGCATAAATAAATAAATCTTTAAAAAAAGGTAGCTACATATACAAGTTTTAGTTCTATTGCTATATAATACTTTGCTCAAGTGTCTTCTATGGATAGATATTTAGCTATATCCACTCCCCTGCCACACACATACCTCCCTGAGTAGTCACTAATACACCAATGAGCTTTTTTTATACTTGTCTGCTTATCAGATTATCTTATCTAGCTAAAACAAACTCTAGACTCTAGAATGTGGAATGACCGAGTCAGAGGTTATGTACAAACTGGTAAAACTGTTGTAAAACTGGGCCTCCCTGATGGCACAAGGAGTTAAGTCTTGGCAATACGGATCTATTGCCAGCCACTGCAGCGTGAATTTGATCCCTGGCGAGGGAGCTAACCTAGGCAGTGCAGCAGACCTTTCCTGTCTCACCTGCTGCTCCCCTCAGTAGCATATTTCTGCTGTTCTCCCCATACTCTGGTGAATTCTTTCACCCCCACACCTCTGGCCTGCACTCCAGTTGTCACATAAGTAAATAAAGATAAATCTTTAAAAACAAAAACAAAACTGTTGTAAAACTACCCTCTGGAAAGACAATACCAACTGTATCAACAATAATGGTTTCAATTGACCCACATCTCACATTTTGCACCTGAAAAATTACTACATATATCTTAGTAATTAAGTCTATTTTCACTTATATTTATTTACTTTCAAAGATTTAATTTTATTTATTTATGCATACAAGGACTGGGGTATAGGCCAGAGGTGCAGAGGGTGAGAGGATTCACCAGAGACAGAGTAGGAAGCAGAACAGAAAGGTTAACTGAAATACACTGGTGAGGGGAGCAGTATGCCAGACAGGAGAGGTCTGTTGTGCCATGTGGGTCAGTTCCCAGGCTGGGGATTGAACTCATACTGCAGTGCTGCCTGTACTTTGATAGCGTTGACTTTAACCCCTGCGCCACCAGGAAGAACCCTGTTTTCACTTATATTTACCAGAGATTATATTTTTACATTTTAGTACTTCATTTTATTAAGTGTTCCACCATTTTTATTGGGGTGGTCTGCTTTTCTGTTTGAAGTATTTGATTTTTATGTATAGCTTGATTTGTTGGTTTTCTTTTGACTAATATATGGTGTTGTCATGAATCTCAAGTCAGTGAACATTTATTGATTATTGTGTCCTAGATAATGTGGAAGTGCTGAGGTTAGAAAGGTAAATAAAATCTTATCTCTGCCTTTAAAGAGTTAGTGAGAAACTGACATCTATTGTGACTAATGTCATATTCATATGGCAGTCTAGTAGAAAGTAATATAGCCACTCAGTAAAGGAGTTAAGAATTTAGGAGATGCTTCAGTCAAAGGTAACCAGCACCAATTCTCTAGATAGAAGGGGTGAGGATTGCAGGATCACAATCTTAAAGAGAATATGATCAAAATCTGGAAACAGTAACATGCAGGATTTAAGTGAATTGCAAGTGATAGGCACTGAGACTGGAAAGGTGGGACACTAGATTAGTATAGAAGTTAATGGGGGGTATAACCTGTGCGTTACTTATTTACTTATTATTTTTCAAAGATTTATTTATGCATAGAGAACTGGGGTACAGGCCAGAGGTGTGGGGGGGGGGTTAAGAGGATTCACCAGAGACAGAGTGTGGAGCAGAACAAACAGATCAACTAACTGAGCAGCAGGTGAGACAGGAGAGGTCTGTTGTGCCATGTGAGTCACTTCCCTGGAAGGGATCTAACTCATGCTGAAGCGGCCTCCTTAGCTTCTTAGTGCTGCCCTTTAAGCCGCTGCACCACCAGGGACGGCCCTAACCTGTGCTTTATAAGAGATCTCTCTGAGGTCAACACGACACATGATTGTGTGGCTGGAACATGACTAATATGTTACTGTCATTAACGTCTCTGCACTGGATTCCTTCAGACTTTCTTGCAGACCATACTAGTTTTAGGAAATTAAGACTATCATTTTAATCCCCGATATTATTTTCACAGTCTGGCATTTTCATCTCAAAAAACATTAGGAATATTATTTTTGAAAGACACACACCTCCATTAACATATTCCCTTGTGTTTCTCCTTAATAGGCTGCAGCTGATGAATACAATAGGCTGAAACAAGTAAAAAGAGTAAGTATCCTGGATTGTAAGTTTCTTTTAGACAACTTTTCTATTACATATTTTTTCATTTAACCTTAAGAATCTCTATGAATTCTTTATTAACATTCACAGACTATAACCCTGTAATTGGAAGATGAAAACTGAAACTAAGACATTTGAATCTTAATTTAAGCTACTTGCAGCTGCACCAATACTTATTTTCAACTTAGAAGTTGAAAAATACAAAAGGGCACACAAATATAAGTGCCTAAGTTGGTGAATTTTCACAAAGCAATCATGCCTCTTTGTACCTGGAGCCTAGATAGAAATTTCTTGGTAACCACAGCAGTCCCTTTTTGTATCTCCTTCCAGTTTTTAACTCTCTCCCAGAGGTAGCCAGCATCTAACATCCCATATTAACTTCGTTTATTTTGAACTTTATGAGTGAAATCTTGCAGTATGTATTTTGTGTGTTATTTCTGTTGGCTTGGTGCCGTCTGTGAGAGCCATTGATGTTTTATAGTATAGCTGTGGCTCATCCATATAATTTCTTTTGTGATTAAAATACAACATTTCCATTATATTGTTAATAAATGTTGGGGTTGTTCCCCAATATGTGACTTTATAATTAATACCACTTTAAACATTTTTTAAAAAGTGTCTTGTTAATATGCACACATTTACAAGATGATACATAACTTGCTTTTATTTTATTTTGCAAGGTACTCAGGAGTAAAATTTTAGGGTTACTTGGCAGTAGTGTGTCTAGCAGTGTGGGTTTAATCCATCAACTTTCCAAAGTGGTTGTGTCAGTTTACATCTTCTGTTGCTCCATATTCTTGTCAACACTTGATATCAACGGATTTAAAACTTTTTTTGATATTAGAAGATTTTATACTAAAATACTTTAAAATGACAAGACATTAAGATTTTTTTTTTTAAAGATTTATTTATTTATTCATACAGAACTGGGGTACAGGCCAGAGATGCGGAGGGTGAGAGGATTCTCCAGAGACAGAGTGGGGGGCAGAACAGGCAGATTGACGAAGTACACTGCTGAGGGGAGCAGCAGGCGGGTCAGGAGAGGTCTGCCACGCCATGTGGTCACCTCCGGGGCAGGCGGGAATCGAACTCATGCGGAAGCGGCTTTAGATTCTCAGTGCTGTGCTTTAACCCGCTGCGCCACCAGGGAGGGCCCGACATTAAGATTTTTAAGGCAAGAATTTAAAAGGGTCTATAAAAGATCCTGTCTCATTCCCCATTTACTCAGTTCCTTTCACAAATCATCCTACATACCAACTTGTTGGCTTATTCATGTATCTTTTTAGATATATTTTTTAGTGACCAGTAAATTTTCTTGGTTACTATACAAATCACGAGAAACAAGTCTATCCTTTTTAAAACTCTGGTTAAAAGATATGATTGAATAAAGAGGGCCAGCTGCCAGTGTGATTATAGATACTGCCATCTACCTTATCTGTCTTCATTTAACACTCCCAACAATTCTGTATGACTAATGCTGGTTTTTGTTGACTTCTGCCTTTCCAGCAGCTGATACATAAGTTGTTTTTATTTTGTTAAATTTATGTGATTCATTTTTTTGTTAGTCTGCAGATTACAAAAGTAAGAAGAATTATTGCAAGCAGTTGAAGAGCAAATTGTCACACATCAAGAAGATGGTTGGAGATTATGATAAACGGAAAACATAGAAGGCAGATAACACACTGAGAGATTAAGAAGTATCTGATATTTTTGCTGTGTTGTCAGATGGCAACATGACGTCAGACTCTTGACTCGGGAAGCCAGATCTTTGTGATCATTACAAAGTTTGGTAGCTTTAATATCGATAGTTCAGTACCATCAGTATTGAAGCATTTTATAAATAGCTTTTAATAATCAACTGGGCTGAACACTCCAATTAAGGACTTTATGCAATTAGTGGTTAATTGGTTCTTGCATTAAGAACTAACTATTGTTTGAAACATTTAAGGAAGGTCCTGGAGTGAACTGTACCATGAACTTTCACACCGTATGTAAGTCATGTCTTTGTAAGTGTTCGTTAATTCACACAGGTGATCTCTAATCCTCCCTTCTGATAACTGTAACTTATAATAATTTCTTTTCAAATAAGGAAACTGAGTCCCTGCAGTGAAGTCTCTGAAGTGAAACTGCTCGCTTCCTTGCTTACAGTTTTGGTTAAGTATGTTTTATGACTCCATTAATAGTCCCTGGCCTTTCCGATTTTAGCTACTAAGATACTGCATTCTACCAACCTCATTCATTGATTTTTGTGTAGTTAAAAGAGCTTTTTATTGTTTTATGCAATCTTGTAAAAGTAACAAATCGTAAAAGCAACAATTACGTGAAATTTAAAGATGTAAATATAAACTTTTTTAAAATCAAAATTTAAACCTGGTTAGAATTTTGTTGTGTATTTTTAAATACTTTTTATCCTTTGTGGTTTACATGTATTTTTTTAACCAGCTAGCCTTTTTCATTACATCAGAGTATGTGATTACACTTATAATTCAATTGTGACTTGAATGTTTTAAGTTCTGTACATATTTTACTATAAGGTATTAAAACTGGTATTTTCTTTCTACAATGTACCTGTTTGATGTCATTAGTGCTGTTTAATACTAAGAAATGCAAAACTACATCCAGCAGTTGTATCTATTACTGTTTTCGATCTATTTTGGGTGCTGTGTTGGTAGTTTAACAATCCTTTGGCTATAAGAAGTCTGATTTGTCTGGAAATAGAATGCAATACCATAAGATTAAAGATTATTTCAAATGGTGCCCTTATCCTCAGCACTTAAAAAAAGATTTTATTAGTAAAGTAAAATTAGCTGATAGTACTGGGGATATAGCTAACCAAGTTATGATGACTACCACTTCCCCTATTTAGAACTTTTTTTGAGAATTTTTTAAATTAGTCATTTAAATTCAATTCAGACACTTAATTAGAAAATCATGTAAGCCTGAATCATTATCTAAAGATAAGTTTTAATCATGCTTCAATTTATGACACTGATTCATTTCTTCAAATTGAAGACATTCTTAATTTTCTATGTCTACACATTATATGAAAGGGTAAGTTTATGATTTTCATACCTTTGGATTCACACTAAAGGAATTGAGCAATGAACTGATTTTTGTGTGTTAAGTTCTTTGTTTTTGGAAGTCAGTGTATTCGGACTGTAAAGGCAAGTTTACCAGTGTTCTGAAAGCAGAAAATCAAATAGCATGTGTTTGCATTGTAATTGTGCCATAACATTTGACTTTGGAATAAAAAATAAAATCACTTTCAAACGCGGTACTTATCTAAAGACCACTTCAGGACCCAGGATCAGGTTTTTCTGGTGGAGCTGGCATTAACTACCTGGCTGTAACTTAAGTGAAAAGTCACTTAGGGACCTCCCTGGTGGTTCAGGGGTTGGGATCTCAGCACTATCAGGCTGTCAGCAGCCACTGCAGCATGTGTTTGTTCCCAGGCCAGAGAGCTGGTCCACATGGTGCAGCAGACCTCTCCAGTCTCTGCTGCTTTCCCCCTCAGCAGTGTATTTCAGTAGATTCGCCCATTCTGCTCCCCACTCTCTGGTGAATCTTCTCACTCCTTGTACCCCTGGCCTGCACCCCAGTTCTTTTATACATAAATAGATTAACTTCTAAAAGAAAAAGGTCATGTAGGCACCTTAGAGTCAGGGAAAAGGTCTAGAATAGTCTTCAAAGGTCTCTTCCATCCCTGACCTTTTATGGTTCTTATGTTTGCATTTTGCTTCCTGTTATAAACCATTGTTCAAAAAATTTTGTTGTGAAAATATGTGGGTCCACTGGTTCATGTTTTACTGCATGAAGTGATTCCTTTACATTTGTAATTTGTAAAAGTAGATGTTTTCTTTATTTTGAAATCTTAGAGAACTATAAACATACATGTATCCGCCAGATAAAAGTATAAGGTTTTAATGCTTTGTTATCTATGCTTTGTATTTTTTAAAATAAATGTCCCCTATTATGTCATATACACACAAAATATTTAATCCTTAAAATTGTTGACATGTAGCCATTTTTCATTCTCACTTTATAGAAATGAATGAATTGGTAGATTAACTGGTTCATTGTCATACACTAAAATTCTAGCATTAGGATCTTGGCCTGTTCTATGGGAATATTAGGTTCTATATGTCCCTTCTAGGTTGACTTTGTTAATAAATTAATGACTTTGATAAGGTTGGGTTAATCTCCTAATGCTAATAAAATACAATTTGAATGCATTTTAAGTTTCGGTGGGAGTTCGATCCCTGCCCTGGAGGTGACCCACATGGCGTGCAGACTTCTCCTGTCTTGCCTCAGCAAGTGTACTGCTCCCCTCAGCAGTGTACTTCGTCAGTCTGTCTGTTCCGCTCTCCACTCTCTGGTGAATCCTGTCACCACCCCTGAGGCTCTGGCCCCAGTTCTGTATGCAGAAATAAATACATCTTTAAAACAAACAACAAACTACATGGAGGAGCATGTCATCCCTTTTGTGTTCCACATTAACATTTCTTCTCATGGGAATATTTTCACACATAAATTGCTGAGTTACTTAGGTGGCTGTGCTAAAATAATACCACTTTGAACTTAGAAAAAGAACATAAACATATAGCTGCTTGTTTGTTTTTTTTTTAATTTTTATTTTTTGATGATTAGCAAAATGTGGAAGGATGTTCCCTCAAATTCCCTTCTGCCAACAGAACCTGCTTGCATTCTTTGCATTTATTGTCCTATTCTTGCTTTGCTGCTCTAGCAATCACATGCTGTATGACCTTGAACAAATTACTTAGTTTTTTTCCTGTACCAGTTTGCATATTTGTACCAGTAAGATACTTGTACCTAATTTCATGGTTGCTATGAAAGAAGTCAGTGTATAATTTAGAATTGTCCTTGACAGAAGTAAATAACATGGTCATTACGTTTCCCAAAGTCAGATGAAGTCAACACATTTTTAAAAAGCAAATTGTGTTTTAAGAGGGTATATTATACTAACCCCTATGTTTGTTCAATGTTGGGTAAAATTCTTTGAATTCTAGGCAGATAACTGCTTTTGATTTGGCATTGTGACTATTCAGAGTCCATGAACAAATGCTTTGAATTATGGAGTTTACATATCAAGATAATGATTTTCTTGTTTTTAATGTGCAGACTCTGTCTGGAATGATTTTAGTTCCAGCTAAAGGTACAGGAATAGGTGGGTGCACTTCTCCCAGTCTTTGAAGTTGCACACTTTGAATTTCACCTTGATTCTGACTGAACTGTTCATGAATTTCCTAACCCCATGGATTGTGTCCAGCTACCCATAGGCAAAGAACAGACTGTTCCATTCTTTGTAATTGTCCCTTAGTTTGTTTTTTTTTTTTTGTATTTTTGTTTATTTGCTCTTTACAGGTGGAAACATTTGATTAGGTTAGATCTACCACTTTGTGCACAAAGTATTGTTAGTCATAATATGGCAAGGGATTACCATGGATTTATGCATGTTTTGTTTTGCCTTTGTACCATTCCTAGTCAAGTGACCATATATGGCAAATCTATACAGAGGACAGTAAACTTTACAATTAGTAAAAGTCTTAATCATTTAACCTCCGCAAATTTGCTTAATTTGTTGGGGGTGGGGGCTTATCTGTCCTTTCTTTGGTTTTCTATATAAAAGTCTTCCCGGACTTACAGATAGTAAACTAAGCAAAAACCTAGGGTTTGGGGTTGTGGCTGTTTTCCTATAGGAATATTTTCCTCTAGGGATCTTGGGATAGGACAGTCAATTAGATTGGGAGAAAAGAAAAGGAGAAAGTGAAGACTGTGGAAGGAAGTTGGAAAAGAAAAAAAGGAAGAAGTTATGGAATTTGTAAATCCTTGTAAAAGAGTCAAAGGCACAGGGAAGGCAAAAATGGGAGATTGGCCCTGAAAGACTACTGGTTTCTCCTTCCTTGCCCTTTTACCAAAGACTACATCAAAACTCAACAGTGAGACTTTGTCTTCTGCAGGGGAAATGAGCTGATTATGGAGTTACACAGTGGTTTGCTAAACCTGTAATGTTGGTGACTATATTCCTACTTTACAGATCAGACCTGGTTTTGCCTGCTTGAGGTCACCCAACTAGTGTGGCAGAACCTGATTTTAAATCCAGTTCTTCACTGCTGTGCAGGATAGCATTTATATTTTTAAGGGGTCAGGAGGAACACATGGGAAGATTTTTGACCCCAAAAAGCCATGTAAGCAATATGGGAAATGTATATACTGTTGGGGAATCTCCAGGGCCTAATACTTTTTCTAAAGTTATGGGGATACTTTCCCTATTTATTTCTCAAATATGAGAACTGCTAGTTAATTCTAAATGTAGGTTTCTCAAACCATTTGTGCAAAACTGAACTGATTTTGAGCAAAATGGATGGAGCTGGAAGGGATCATGCTTAGTGAAATAAGCCAGAAAGAAAAGAAAAATACTGGATGGTTTCACTCATAGAAGGAGTGTAAGGGATTGGGGGAGGGGAGGAGATAAACATGTAATCGTGTAAAAATAAAGACAATGAACAACTATAAACCAGAGACATTTTATGGGGGAACCTGATTGGGCCTGGGGTGGGAGGGGCTTGGAAGAGCACATGGGACTATGGTGATGGCCCATGTGGTGTGAAGTCCACAGGGATTACAACTGAGATGAAAAATGCACAAAAGGAATAATGATGTAAAAAAAAAAAAAACTTGATTTTACCTAACCCCCACCCTCTCAGTAATTACAACTCCAGCCATTTGGTTTTTCAGTTAACTCTGAAGTTATTGTTTTAAATTATAGATACTTTTTATTTAAAATTTGTGTTTGCAAGTAACTAAGTTTCAGGTGTGCAAAATTATAAGTTAATATCTCTACTGCCTTAAATTGACTCAGTTTACCCACTTCCTTTCTTATTATTGGTTTGGTGTTATAAAGTTTATTTTCTATATAGTTCAAATTTTTGGCTAGTTTTTTTGTATCATGAGTGAAAGGATATGGTGTTTGTCTTTCTCCATCTGATCAATTTCAGTAGCATAATTCCCTCCAGATTCATACATTTTGCAAGTGGCAGGATTTTGTAGGTTTTTTCCCCATAGCTGAATAGCATTTCATATATGTGTGTGTGTTTTTGTCCTATACACACACACACATGTTAATATGTACCACATCTTTGTCCAGTCATCTATGGGTGGGCATTTAGGTTGTTACCAGCTCTTGGCTATTAAAAATAATAGTAGTGCACCCCACTCTGTCCCTGGTGAATCCTCTCACCCTCTGCATCTCTGGCCTATACCTCAGTTCTATATGAATAAATAAATAAATATTTAAAAAAAAATAGTGGTGCAT